TGCAAAGCTTGGTCATTATAACTGCTAATCTGCATTTTATGATGCTTCCTAACGTAATGAGTGCTTTAAGCAGAAATACTTCAATAAATCCATTCATTGCTATCGTACAAGCATTGCACTTTCACTAACTGCAGTGTCTTATGCCAATAGAGCGATCACTTATCTTAAAATCAAAACGCAAGTTTTGTGCACTTCATTGTTCTTTTAAGTAACGTAAGTAATACTTCAAAATTGCAAGTTGTCTTACCTCTTTGTATGCGCCTGTATTTAGGTCTGAGGAGGTACAGAACGACTGCACAGAAGCCTTGAATCTGGATCATCGCTACATTAAAGCTTATTCTCGGCATTCAACTACTACCAAAGAACTTGGGAAATTGAAAGAATCAATTGAAGGTATAGTTAATCTTCAAATGTTACCATATGTAGAACTGTTATATCCAGGTTTCCTATCTAATGCAAATGTAGCAGCACAAATGAGATTTAAGAGAGATTTTCATTCTGTAAAGACTGCCTGAGATTTAGCACAGATGCTTTTCATGAAGATCTCCATCAGCACCAGAAGCTTTAGTATTCAGTTGTACAACATCATAATCCTCCGCTTCCAAACTTATACCATTTTTTGGATCAGTGACGCATCCACAACACAATTTTTAGCAGCTTCTTCCTCCTGAATTGATACTCTACTTTCCAACTCTTTGAACTTTACCAAATACAACTTCAGTTTTGCCTCAACTTCAGCTTTTTCATTTTTTAGCTCCTCATTTTTCTTCTGCATATCCTTCAATCAATTCTCCATCGATTGAAGGATATGCAAAAGAAAAATGAGGAGCTAAAAAATGAAGAAGCTGAAGTTGACGCAAAACTTAAGATGTATTTGGAAAAGTTCAAAGAGTTGGAAAGTAGAGTATCAATTCAGGAGGAAGAAGCTGCTAAAAAATGTTGTGGATGCGTCACTGATCCAAAAAATGGTACAAGCTTTGGAAGCGGAGGATGATGATGTTGTACAACTGAATACTAAAGCTTTTGCTGCTGATGGAGATCTTCAGGAAAAGCAATTGTCACCACCTAGGCCTCCATTGGTTGACTCAACTGCAAATCGAAATGGAAATGGAAGTGTAAATGAAGACATGAAGGTATTATTATGCTTATATCTGTCTTGTTGACCTTTTTTTTTACAGTTATGTACTCAATTTCTGTATGGTTTTCAATTTTGGTTAGGGACTTACAGTTATTGAGTGATGCTTTTTGTGCTATGCTTAAGCTTTACTTATCTATGCATGCATGTTGTAATATTTGCTTGGCTTTGGACCTAAAGCTAACTCCTAAGTATTTATGTGGAACTAGAAATGTGCTAGACACTGATATGGTAATTGCGTGCAGTGGATGTGGTTTGTATTCCTTTGTCTTTAATTTCAAAGTCTAGGATTAACAATGGTCACATGAGTGTAGCTGCAGGCAGTGGTAACACGGACTTCATTTGTACAAAAATGAATCTGGTTAATTGTCCTGATGTCCAGACATTGCATCCCATGCCTTCTGCTGGTAGTTCTGCTCAAGTCAATACCAATGTTTCCAACATACAAAAGAAAAGACGCCATTCAGAGCAAGCAGGTACAGATGATTTGTCACGCTTATTCTTACATTTTGTTTGTTACTTCTCGCATTCAACCGACATCTCAAGTTAGCACTAATGATTTACTCAATTTCTAAATGTTTTTAGATCCATTGTTCAACATATATTGCAAATGAAGAAAATCTAAATTACATTATTTTTGTTATACCAATAGAGCAGTAGTAATCTGTGTGTGTTTGTCAACTTACTATTTTTGCTACCATACTAACCAGATGACACATGATTTGATGTGTGTGTCTGTCTGTATCTGTATATATATATATATATATATATAGAGAGAGAGAGAGAGAGAGAGAGAGTATATATATATACATAGATAGATAGATAGATAGATAAATACATAAATCTTTTTTATCCTTATTTAGAAAGAACAATTAAACTACAACTGTCTTCATACAAATTCATGCAGTTTTGGTTGCCAGTGAAATAATGCCAAAAAGCAGACAAAATCATTATAGTAGGTAGTCAAATGTAATGATTTTGTCTCTTTTTGGACTACCAAATGTACTGATTTTCTGCCTTTTTTGGCACTATTTCATTGGCAACCAAATCCCCATGAATTTCTAACAAGACACATGTAGTTTTTTTGTCCTTTATAATTTCTATATTTGTAAAATAAATAAAAATAACAAATTAGATAAGGGTAAGGTAATACATATTTATATATATATATATATATATATATATATATTTTATATAATATTACCCTTATATATATATTACTGATACAACAGAAATTTAATAGCCTTTCATTGAAGAACAAATTTTGCTCCCTTTCTCAGGTATTATTTCTTCCCTTTTCATCTTTTCCCTCTTCCCAGTTTCAATTTTTCTTCCAGATTCTGCTTATCACCAAAACAGAAAAAAAAATAGATCAAAATTATAGTTATTAGTTGGACGTCAATTACTATGGTATTACATTTGTACTCATATTGCAAATGTAAAACCCAAAGTAATAGCCTCCCTTATGAGTTTCCTATTTGATGGCTCATATTTAATGCTCTCAATACTATTCAATCTTTCATAAATATAACATGGGCCCAGGAGTATGCTTTTACCTTAATGCCCAACATCATCAAAATATCGCCACAATAGCTGTTTTCTTTTGTGTTTTTTTTTTTCTTTTCTTTTTTTGGAAATTTTAAATAGTAACATGAAAGTTTAGTTTGTATGAATAAAGTTTTTCATATTGTTTTTCCTAAATGTATAGTGATTTAACTCAAGTTTCAGAGATAATTGTTGTTGTTTTAATATTCTGCAACATTTTATGTCCCTGTAACAGCTTTTCTGTGAAAAAAGAATTGTCCAACTGTACTTTGCACATTAATAATGCCTGCTAACTGATTTTATGTCTTCATTGAGCTCCTCTAAAGGGCCCTAACAGATTTACACATGACTCTACTTCTACTATGACAAGACTGTTGTTTTTCTTTTCATTTGTTCTTCATTTGGTTTTTGTTTGGAAAATACAAAGTTTATTATGTTTCCGCTGTTTATATCTCATACGACCCAATAATAAGAGGTACAACTCTGAAGTAGTATACTTTGTTTGCTCATTTTGGCTGTAGCTGCTTTCTTTGTATCCAATTATCAATCTCCTACTTCGACATTCTACAATTGTACAGCAGTATCTCATGATTGACAAAGAAATAATAGCACGTAAATGGTTACCCGATGAAGATGGCAGCAAAAGTCAATAGTATGATACATGCTAGGTCATCTTTTATGAGTTTGTACTCTACGTTCAGTCTTTGTCCTAACTTGCTTTTACAAAAGTTTCTTAATGCTTTGTTTCTACAACAAAAGCTCATTTACACAGCTGGAAGCTGCATTTTACTCCACAGTGTTTCTTTCATTTGATTCATTTTCCCCTTTTGTCTAAACAGCTGAAACAATGTTGCATGTCCCTCATTTAATCAGCCCTGTTCATAAAAACTCAACTAACCAAGCACTTTGACTTAATATTCATCTTATCCTGCAGCTACTACTATTTGGTTAACTATATTTCCTACAAACATGGTACTAAGAGTGAACATTGACCAAATAGAACCAGCAACACGAGATTGGATTTGCGAAGTTCAAATTGTCGAAATAGGACGCCCACGAGAAATCCTTGACAAGAAATGTACATTCCAAAATTTGATTTTGGAAGATGAAGAGGTCAGGTCATTATTATATTTTATGTTATCACTATTGCTCTTTTCCTCTCAACTTAGTTAATCACAACTTTCTATAACTCTTACTTTCAGGAATGCCAAATTAAGGCTGTTATGTACGCTGACGAAATTGAGCAGTATGCAGCTACGCTTAAACTCCTCCATACCTACCTGATCTCTACTGCAAGAGTGAAAGTCTCCCCAGCTTCATACGGCAAGCCAATACATAAATTTTACTGGATTCTTGACAAAGAAACAGTAATTGAACAAATCAAACCATCTCATGAAGTTGAAAAACCACTTCCACCGCCAACCAAGCTGAATATCACAAGCTTTGACCGCATTCCTCATCTGATGTTGATTCTGCTGTTGAAATAGGTATATTCATCGTAATAGCTATTATCAGACTGAAATATACATCTGCACTGCTGCAGAAGACTTGCAACAATTCATTATGTATTACATACGCAGATATACTGGCAATTGTTCTTCATTGTGGTCCTCAAAAAAAACGTCGGTCGCAGTCATCATAGGTGTCCAGATATTACCCTTTGTGACAATCAGTAAGTATAACATTTCACATTCTCTTTTCCCCTTTTCTGCAAATATTTCGAATCAATAACCACTTTTTCCCTTTCTATGTTCACATCATCAATTATCGTCTAACCATTATCATAGTACTTACTCTTCTGTCCTTATGTTCTCACACTGTCAGGAAAACTCAGTTTCTCTTCACTCTATGGGAGGATTTCGGAGAAATAGAAGGACATGAAATTGCCTCTAAAATGGCAACAGAGGCAGATCTGTTTGTACTTCTCGGAAGAAGTATAGGAATCTCTACTTATCAAGGTACGTATACGGTCAACTTCTTACCAACATAATTTTATACAATAACAAAACAATGTACAACCTATATGTTATACAGGGTTGTCACTGCAGACTAGGTACAATTCCACACTACATGTGAATCCGAATTACCCACATGTAGTGGCACTCATGAACAGGTACTGACATTTCATATTTATTCTATAGCTTTAAATTGCATCTAAAGAACCTACTAAACATATTACCTGTTCTAACAATAGGGCAAAAGAAAACAAAACAATGTTGTTAAGTTGTCCATCAGAGAAAACCTCAACAAGCTCATCTACCACTCCCATGATAGTCACTACTGCTGGCCAACAACTTCTCTCTATTGCAGAAATCTCATCAGCACCTTCTGTAAGTCATACTTCAACTTGCTCATTTGAGAGTATCCTTATTCAGTTTCTCATTTTGTAGCTTTGCCTAAATAATCAAAACTTCCCATAGATGGGAGTGTTCTATGTTGAAGCAGAGATGGCCATATTAGATGAATTCCAAGACTTTTGTGTGCTTGAATGCTCGGGATGCAAACAGAAGAAGCGGACAAAGGATAGAAAGGATTTTGAATGTCCAAAATGCAATCGGAAAACAGCCTTAGTGCCTCGGTACTATACTTTTGAATTCTAAATTACACTTTCTACAAAATATAGCATATACTATACACATATTTGAAACTTCCCTTCATTTCAGCTGTAGCTTTCAAATTGATCTTATTGACAATACTGCTACAACCACATCATCTATCTCTGCTGAATTAGGAGAAAAAATATTGTCCATGACAGCAGAAGACATATTTGACATAACTTGCACTAAGGTTATCTCTCATTCCCACTGCCTACTTGAACACATTTATTGTCATAATACCATATATCTTCAGCACAAACAGTTTACCACATATGCTTTGTTCTAAACTATTTATTCTAACTTGTTACATTTACAGCGACAATCATTGTCTCTTACTCATGTCCATGAGATGTTGTCAAACAAAGTATTCGCAATTCAGCTAAGGAAGTCATCTTGGGCCAGCTCAAATACCACGCATGCAACTTTGTCCATTCTTTCCTACACGGAAAAACAACATGCTCCACAGACCACCACTGATAGGAATTCTAAAAAGATAAAACCTTTGGAAATAAGTGAGGTAGAAGTGATGGCAACAACTACTGCAGCTGGTTCTTCAAGTGCATTGCCAAAATTTGAACCACCCATACCAACCTAAAAGGTCTAAAAGGTCAGTCTACATCTCACTTTCACACCAAATTATAGCTCAGAATGATTACCAATTCCACATATTTACAATTAAATCAAAAATTGCTGCTAAAAGCCTCTACTTTTAGCTGTAGTTTACTTTCTTTTATACACGTATCCATATAGTTCCTGTAAAACATTGTAAGTGTCATACTTATGTTATAGCGCTGCTTTCGCACTTGCTCTTATCTCCTTTCAAATTTCACAATTTTTTTATGTTTATGTCTGACATAACATTGCAAAGCCTCACATTGATTCAGGGCTAAAAACTCTCTATCCATGTTCATATCCATGCTCAAATCAATTGGTTAACATTTTCTTTTTAATTCCTCATCTCATGTTGACTGTTGAATTAGCTTATTTTAGTTACAACAATTCACACACTGCATTACTTCACAGTTAGCAGCAGCTCTTGTGCACACTCACAGGAATTTATTACTCCTTGCTATTTCTACTTCTTGCAACAGCTCAACTCACATCCAAGCAAACTGCCTTTCAACACTAAAAAACATAATCACAGTCAAACAAATCCTTATGTCTCCTCTGTGTTTGTGATAGCATAAAACTGTAGCCTCCTTTTGCTCTTTCGTTAGTGTTTATCAATTCACACTCCAATATAAGCCTATTTACATGTTTTTCTGGATAAGTTGCACTGCGTACATTCTTCTGCATTTTTCTTATTCTACTTTGTTATGATGTCCTACACATTAATACAAACTTATCAGTAGGAACAATAGGAACGAGGTTTCTGTCTACCAGCAAATCTATCACTTTTATGATGATTCCATGCATTTCTTTCTACTTTATCCCCATATTAAAATAACTTTCCTATCTATTGCCATATTTGCACTTTCTAACATACTTTAAACTGTGTAATTGCAGGAACTCCCTCACACCATTTTGTCACTTTTGCTTATGATAGGGACAATATAATGAACAACTCTCCCTATGCTCTAGTTTATTTCATGAGGAAGGTTAGCTATGGACAAGCAAACTGCAGTGTCCTCTAAATATGATACTGCAACATGTATATTATTTTTGTTATATTCCATTAGTTAGTATGTGTGAATCGTTCAACTCGACATCATACTGATGTCTATTGTACATATTCTGAATATTTCTAATAGTACATATTATAATATATGATATTATCTATCTTCTACAAACACCCTGACCCTTGATTCATTAATATTACAATACTTTTACAAGCATAATATTTTGACTATTGGGCCCGTGCTTGCCACGGGCCTCCCTACCCTAGTATATATATATATAATAGGACCTAGTGGGATGTATGTAATCCATGTGTCCTGAACCAGAGGTCTCTTATTTGCATCTTCAAAGTTGAGAAACACTCTTATTAGGAGTCTTTCCCTGAACATGTTGATAAAACTAGAAGACTAATAATAACAATTGTGTTTCAAGAAGCTTCAAACATTATTAATACAAATATTCAAGAGACTCGACTCAAATAAAAAAGGTGGGGTTGGGGAGAGGTGGATATGATAAGAAGGATAAGTTAAGATACTAATAAAGAAAAACATCATTAAAAATCTAAGTTTGAGTGACTACCACAAGAGAAACACATTTTAGGAGCTATTTCACGTCATTTATCCTTTGACTATATTCTAAAGCTTCAATTCCAAGTCCACATTTGTATCTTCAACTTCTTCACCATTTTCAAAAATGAAGGGCTTGTCTATTTTCTTGATTAAAGGCTTTGTGATATAAATTGGGTGCAACTCCTTATCTATGTACACTTGACCCTTTGAATGCGATTCTTCAATCATAGCATGACGAGTTGCCCTTGAAGAAAATTGAGAGTGACCTTGTTTATTATCTAACTTGAAATTTGTCGTCCTTAACACAGGGTAACCTGCAAATTAAATAATACAATGTTGAAGTAGAAACTAAATTATCAATTAAATTTACAAGATGCATTTGATATATATATAAATGAATTGAGAATGACCTTGTTTATAATCTAACTTGAAATGTGTCTTCCTTTAACACTGGGTAACCTGCAAATTAAATAATATAATATTGAGGTAGAAATAACTTATTGATAAAAATTTACAGGTATATATATATATATATTGCTTATAATCTAACTTGAAATGTGTCTTACTTAACACAAAGAATGTAGAAACATATATTCTGATTAGGATTGCTTCCGTTGTAAGGAAGTTTTTCACATACACTAAGATATCAAAGTTCATCTTCCTCATATAAAAAAATAGCTGATTTGCCTTGGTTTAGAATGAATTTTCTCCCAAAAATAGAAGGTAGAAACACCCTAGATAGGATCGCTTTCCTCTGTAAAGAAGTGTTCAAATAGACTAAAAATCCATAGTTCCTCTTTTCAAGATGATGATTTTCTTATCGAACCAGAATGCATCAGCATCGGTCTTAAAAGAAGTAACAAAATATATACGCTTAACAAAATTAGAAATTAGTCGGAAAAAAAAATCAAATTATTACACCAAATAATAATAACATATAAACTAATATATTCATGGTCTTACTATTTTGTTGTATTGCTAGCATATAAGATTCTCTTCCGTGAACTTGATTAAAATGATAGAGTAGTGGCAGAGCATGAGGAAATATTTTTCCACACACTCGACATGAAATTAAGTTAGCATAAACCACCATTATTTTTCTTTTAACTAATCTAGTTTTACTGCAAAAGATAATTGATGATACTCACTTATTAGAACAAATGAAAAAGATGAACTATGTGGAAAGGCATGGAATATATGGATGTATTTATATATGTAAACTATAACAGTGTGAACTGATAATGTCAAATTAGTTGTTAAAGAGGAAAATAAAATTAATTACTAATTTGACGGTACCGTGAACTGATAATGTCATATTAAATGTTAAAGTGGAAAACAAAATTGAATGCTAGTTTATTGGTTAGTTAAATAAATTAGAGTGCAAAGTTATTAATTTAGTTAGAGATTATCATTTATTATCTGGAAAGTCATTAATTGGCTAACTTGGACTGAAAAAAAATGATGAATTGTCCTATTGTTATGATCACTTAGGGTAATATTACCCATGTATAGGACCTCATGGATTAGGAGTTGGCAAAAATCTGAAAAATAAATTGAGTTTGAAAAACTTTCGGTACTTTGCAATAGCGACCTTCACCGTAGCAATGGATTTGTTCGCTATAGCGACCTTCCCTATAGAAACCTTTGCAATAGCGAAAGTCGGGGAACCGTAAGTCACGTTTTTATGTCAGAATTTATCCATTCTTTTTTGTAATACCTTAGAATTTGAAAAAGGTTGAAGTGGGTTAACGGTCAAGTCCATGTGCCTAAAACAAGCCATGAACCCTTAAAGGAAGCCTAAACGGTTCTTTAGGGGTTCACTGGCCATTTAGGGGAAAGTAGCCTGGCCGATTAAGGCTACTAGAATTTGGGATCATCTGGACGGCTCCCTAAACGGCTAGTGAAGATTTATATGGCCCATTTAGGGGCTCATATAGGTCACTCGTTAGCTTTTCAACTCAGGGTTATTCTAGTCTTTCTCTATGTGTTATATACCTAAGCTATGTCATTTTAAACTATATTCTAAGACCTATATAAGTTATTTAAGTCCTAAAACTACCCATTCCAAATCAATCCCCTAAATCATAAATTTCCCTCCAAATTCTCTCTCTAAAGCTAAGGAAGAAGAAGAAAGGGTTTCAATTCAATATCTTCAATTCACCATATCTTTTGGTCTTTGATCATTAAGGTATGTTAGTATTCACGTATGGATTCTTTTCCTCCATAGGGTTCCTAAGATCTTCCAATTTTACAAGTTAGATTCTCAATTCAAAGGAGATGGATATCTCTCGTTTTATAACACATGCCCAACAAATTGAAGAGAAAAATATAAAGGAGAAGTCTAGGGAGTCCAAGAGGGCAAGGACCGGCAATGGTGACTTTTGTCATTCTAAGTCCAGTGGACATGGTCGTTCCAAATTCAAGCAAAGGTTTTCCTGTTAAGGTTCATCTAATGTTCCGGCTCCTAAGATCAAAAAAGCTAGGGTGTCTAACCATAAGCTTCAAGGAGGTGGTTGTAATGGACCTTCTACTCCCTCTTGTCAAAAGTGTGGTAAGAATCACCCGGAAAAATGATTAGTAGTTGTATATGGTTGCTTTAGTTGTGGAAAGAGTAGTCACAAGATGATAGATTGCTCGATGCTTACAACTAAGCGGATGCTAGGCAAGTGATCTTGGGCGTATTTATATGCCTTGAAATCAAATAAAACCCATACTTTAGCTAAGTTTGAGGATAAATTCCCATTATAGTGATATTGTTTAGGTCGTGTTATTGCATTATGATTAACCAATGTGATTAGTGGTTGTAGGTTGAGAAGCAAGAGAAAAATGTACAAAAGTGGCAATACGTGAAGCGAAGTTGGGTCTGATCATAAAAGCATAAAGATAAAGTGTCAAAGGATCTAAATGAAGTTCAAAGTAAGAAGAACCAAGCTCTATATCCTCTCCGCGTCACAGAGAGGAATACATAATTTCAATCAAGAGTTGCTGAGAGAGAGGATTGTGTATCTTCTTGGCGTCATGGAGAGGAGAAATTTAGGAAGCAAGGAAGGTCTGTATTGACCCCGCGTCACTGACCTACAAGCCACTTTTTGGATGAATTTTCCCAAACTATAAGTATTCTTGGGTTTTATCATTTTAATCATTCTTTTTATGGTTTTTGGAGAATGACAACTTGGACGAATTTGTACTTCAATTTTAGGGTTCATTCATACTCTTTACATCTATTGAATTCTCTTAAGATTTTTAAACATTTAAAGATTGAGAATCAAATCATGAGTAGCTAAAATCTTTTATTCTATGGTTGTGTCTACGAATGATTGTGTAGTATTAAACTTCATGGATTGACATTGATTATTATATAAATTGCTCTTTTGTTCTTGATTTAGCATTTCGTGATTGGCCACCATTGAAATAAACTTATTGTCCAAATTGAACTTAGGAGAGAAATATGATGATAGAACGTGGGTCAAAAGGAGCATGATCTTCTCTAGAAACTAGGGTTGATTTGTATCTAGGATAGGGATGTACCTAGAAACCTTTCTTGGTTACAAAACAAGATGAAATCGTAATGCTCAGAAATTGGTTTAGTTTATCCCCGCTCAATGATGTAGTTAAACTTCCAATTTCATTAGGCAATTAGAGGTCAGGAGACCATCATCATAAAATTAACCTTGTAAATCAATGATTTGATAACCAATTGAAGTCCATAAAAGAAGATAGTACGCATGACTTCTACGTAGGCTGCAACCTTGGAACTTCCTAAGTCATGGTTTAAAATCCATCTGAAATTAAATCAGTATTTGAAAATTTAGTTTACTTTTGAAAAATTGCTCAATTAGAAATAATCATCCACGTTTCTTCACACATTTTCTTTAAATTACGGCTATTGGAAAAATTGGATACTATCTAATATTAAGTCTCTGTGAGTATGAAATTCGACTCTTAAATTTGGATGCAACAAGTTTTTGGCGCCGTTGCCGGGAAATTTTAGAATTAGGAATCATTTTATTTATCTAGTCATTAAGTTTATTGTTCAAGTGTTCACTACTTGATCATATTTTTCCTTTATTGCAGGTTGTTCCCAGACGTCAAGCTGGAAGGTGATTAGGATCTTATAGAGCCATTTGCTGAATTAGAACGAATCTTTCACTACCAGAGAAGGCAAGCACTTTTTATGTACATTATCCCTCTAGTTGAAATTGAACCAGAAGCACATGTAGCAATGGCAGAGATGACAGTCCTTGATGTGGCAACCCAACGCACAACTAATGTTATGTCAAGTATTAGAAGCCACTTGTTGGTGGTAGATTTGAGTTAAATAGAATATGGTGTAACTATTACACATTGGACAGTTTACTGGCTTACCTTAAGAGGACCCACAAGTGCACATTCAAAATATCCTCAAAATCAGTGACATGTACAGTGTAACTGGAGTATCCCCCTGCCTATATGAGACTCACCTTGTTCCCTTTCTCTCTATTAGTGAAAGCAAGAAGATGGTTTAAAATCGGAGCCAACAAACTTTATTACCGTTGTGTGAGAGTAACATCAACCCCTCGCACTTTCACAAAATAAGATCGTGACTCTGTCGCCTAATTAACATAAAACTCATGAACCACTCCAAATTATCTTTCTCTGGCTCGAAGAGGCTACCTCTTTAACTGGTCTGTGAGTTCATGACATGTTAACTTTCCATTAAAACAACAAAATACGATTCCAACTCAGCCCACAAAAATTTACGCAATAATCAAGAGACGTGGCTGGTTAAAGGACCACCCCACACTTACCCATGTGTACTACATTCACTAAAATTACGGTACGCAGACTTCCCTAACGGTATTTTCAAACTATCATGAGTAGCACAAGTTAGAAAATTCGACGTACGCATTGATGTGATACGCTCAAATTACACCTCCCTAAAGAAGCATAAACGGTCGTTATCAAGTAAAGAGCCCAACTTGTAGGTTGGGGTTGATCCCACGAGGAAAATGGTTTAGACTTTAATTTAACCAACAATTATATTCGTTTAGTCAAATTACTTCCAGAAACAAGTAATAAAAAAAAAGGGGGAGGGGGGATTTGTGAAACAAATTGTAAAAATTAAATAAGTAATTAGTAATCAAAACTCAATTTGTTATCAAGATTAGAGAAATAACTAGGGTATACGTGTTCCCCACAAGCTTATAATGTAGTAATCCTAGTAATAGCAATCCTTTCCTAGTGTACTACATGCAAAGTGATAAGTTAGGTATCTCTAAATCCTTGGTCCGGCATCTAGAGAATTTCACCCCGCACCTTGGTCCGGCTACGTGTGTATAATTTACTAACCTTTACCTTTACCTCATATTAGACATCATAATCGATGTTTGGCTTAGTTATTACTTCGTACCAATCAACATTAGCCTATTAGATAGGATCACACTAAATCTATGTTGATAATTCTTTTCTTGTTGATTACCTCCTTGGTCCGACAAGTAGCAACAAGGCGAGTTCTAACGTGTGCACTCATTAAAAAGACTTCTAAACGAAAGAATTATCAATGCATGCAAAACACTATTCAAGAATTGCTTATTTACTATTCATACTTTGTTAATCGCTCATGGTTCCACAACCCTAGTTATGGGGTTTAGTTACCCATAATCATATGAACACAATTCATTGTTTTAGATGAAAGAATTATGAACTTACGTAAGAAGAATAATAAACCCAGAAATTAAGCTTGAGTTACAACACCAAAATCTTCAAAACGAACTTAGGAAATTAATAATTGCTAAAGGTGCAAGTTAATCTCCCAAGTCAAGAACTAGAAATGAATAATAATGTCTAACCCCCAAAAACGAGGTTTACATGCCCTATTTATAGAAAACAAGTCCTAAATTAAAAGGGAAACAAAATAAGAAAAGTTTGTTACACGCACGCATCTTCATTCCATGAGACTGACTCACGAACCGTCAAAAGATCTACGGTCTGTGAGTCCCTTCCGTCAGCCAGGACTTAGAAAATATATCAACTTCCAAAAATCAGTTTCTCTGAAGCGAACGACATAATTGCAGTACGGACCGTAGATCCACACTTAGAATCTTCAAATATCAG